GTATATGTGCTTGATAATTCCTAGTTAGCAAGCATTGGTCCTATTATTATTATTATTATTATTATTATTATTATTATTACCATAATATTATAATTGTGTTTATTTTTCCTTTTCTCTTTTATATTCTGGGACTGATTCGTTACTTCTAAGATATTTGTCCCGTATCCAGCTCTTTCATTTGTTTTGTTTCTTTTCATTTTCCTTGTTTCATTTGTTTTTCATTTACGTTACCAAAAAGAAAAGAAAAAGAAAAACGAAAATTGTTTAAGAAGGGAAAATCAAGAAAAAAAAAAGAAAGAACATAATTTAAGAAAGAAAAGGAAGGAAAGAAAAGAAAAGGAAAGAAGGAAAAAGCAATGAAAAAGAAGAAGAGAAGGAAAAGCCAATCAAAAGAAGAGAAAGAAAAACCAATATAAAAGAAGAAAAGAAGGGAAAACAAGAGAAAAGAAGACAAGAAGGAAAAACCAATAAAAAAGAAGAGAAGGAAAAACAATGAAAAAGAAGAAGAGAAGGAAAAAAAAACAATAGAAAAGAAAACAAGAAGGAAAAACCAATAGAAAGTAAGAGAAGAATAAAACGAACTGATAAGAAGAAGAAAAGGAAAAACGAATTGAAAAAAAGTAGAAAATCAAAAACCAAGAGAAAAGAAGAAAAAAAGGAAAAACAATAGAAAAGAAGAAGGAACAAAGAAATTCATTTTAGAAGGAAAAGGTCGAAACTAAAATAGCTAGAATTGATGCATTTTTTCTTTTTCGTTTCCTTTTCTTTAGTTTACTCGATTTCATTTCTTCCACACTCAAAATAAAAAAAAATTAATTCGATTCGTCTTTTACTTTTATTTCTTCTTATAATTTGTCCTTCTATTCATGGCTATTTTTTGTTTCGTTTTTGTTATTAGCATTATCGTATATACTTGCGTATCATGCGACTTTTGAAGACCTAATTTTAAAGTCTTTTCTTTTTAATTATTTCATCGTAGGCAATGCGCTTTGCCACTAGTACGCAGGTGGGTTACAGAGAGTGAAGGTGAAAGAAAAGAATGCACATTCTATGTAAAGTATAAAAGATAGGTTCAAATCAACAAAACATGGTCATTGACGTTGCATTTAAATTTTTGTAGATTGTAGATATCAGGGAAACAAGTGGAAACAGACTGGATTTCCATTGTCGGGAAATGTGAGAAAAGAAACTGTTGGACTAGAAGTGGCGGGGTTACATTTAACTATTTCAACAGTAAAAGGATGGAGAATAGATGACAATCTAGTGGTACGCTAAACCACACGTAGTCCGGGCACCAGTAAAAAAGGTCGTCAGTGCAGTAGCCATGAAAATATTTGTAGAAAAGACAGAGGGAAACCACGTCATATCGGCGAGAAAGTAACTGAAGTCGAGATTCCAATCTAGATTAGACTGCAGATCCTGCTATTTTGTCAAGATCCTCTAGATGAATAACGGGAGCTACTGACCAGATATGGCAACAATATTCAATGCACGGGTGAACGGTAGATTTGTAAATGTGTAAGATGGACACTGACGAGAAAAAAAAACTTCTGACACGACACAGTGACCCAACTTTCCTTGCAATAGATGCAGCTATTGATTCGATGTAGATGTTCATGGTTGTAGTCAGTAGTATTTATAAGAGGGTGTGGAATTAGAGGGAGAGGAGGAAGAAATAGGGAGTAGGGAGAGAATTAAGAGCATAGATGAGGAAATGGATGAGGAAGGAAGGACAGGAGAGGAGGAGGAGATTGCAATGTGAGTATTTTGAGTAAATAAATGTCGGAGGTGCATAGGTGCTGAGCTACACTTTGAAAATAAAGGGCACCTCGGCGTGGTGTAATGAAAAAGATTGTCTTGCTAGATTAGTTACGACTGCAAAGCGAGTTCGATCTTCACTAGGTGTCCCATGCTTAGGAACGCTTAGAAAATAACTATAACATATTCAGGTACTTAATGGGGCAATATAAAGAACCGTCATTTTTTCCCAGTCTCCTTTGTGATATATTGGAAATGTAAGATTTTTTTTTTTTTTTTTACTTCTTATCAACCTTCTTGCAGGTCATTTAAAACCTTTTTAAGTTTTAAAATTCATCTAAAAATATTTTTACATACTAAGAATATTGAGAAAAATAAAGCTACACTGATACAAGTTATACCGTTCCCATGGGGTATTTGCATGCCAGTGAATATAACTGGAATTGGAACACGGCTATCAAATTTTCAACTCTGATCGTTAAATACTACAACACCCGCACATATGTGCTTAACAAATCGCACAAGTTAGGTACGGACTAGACTTGATGTTGCCTAACTTCTGTGATCGTATGAGACGCGATATTTCACTTGCCTATTGCCAAAATACAACTCGACCTTTAGCCTGACGAAAGTGGCAGGAAGTGTTATCACAGTAGTATTTGGAGCAGTCTTTTTTTTTCACTATACAATAATTTTATAGGACATAATTACACTTTCTTTACCCCACAGTGAACCTCATTTGATTCTGAGCCATCCGTTCCTCAGAAAATAGTCTTTTTTTTTTTTTTCTGCTCGGTTTAGGTCAAATTAATGAATTCATCAACATAAAAGAAAAACAAATTAAAAAGAAAAAAATGAAAAACAAACAAAAACAAACAAATACGTTGATCCCATTGAAGGAATGCGTAGAGTTGAAATTCTTTTGTTTATCTTATATTTATGTATTTTCTGCAAACTAAACGAGACTTTTATTAATAATCATTATCGCTCGTACGGGGGCTTTTTGAGGTCGATCAATCACTTCATTTTGTTGATTCTTTTTACGAAATTAATTCTTTCGGGAGCAATTGACCGAAGACAATTTTATTTTGTTACTCTAGGGAGTTTAATGAATTCTCGCGAAGTGTTCACGCGTGAAACTAATGAAAACCTTTGCACTTCCGGCTTCGTCGAATCACATATTAAAGAAATTTAATTCCAGTGAATGGTGAAGACCGAACAAGGCAGATAGTCGAAAAGGTGGTAAAAATTGCAGAAGATGAGAAGGCGAAAATAATAGGAGAGGAAAAGAAAAGAAAAGAAAAAGAAAAGAAAAAGAAAGATGGAATTAAATGAAGTGGGTAAATGGATGCAGACGGTGAAGACAAAAATGATTGAATAGAGGAAGAGGAAACAGAAGAAATTATATGAAGAAGAAGAGAGCAATCAAATAGAAAATGGATAAAATATATGCGTAGTGTGTTTATATATATATATATATATATATATATATATATATATATATATATATATATATAAATTAATTGATTTAAATTATGTTTTTTCCGCTAATATTAATGCTCTGTAAATTTGCATTGAGCACTATTTTGTAAAATAAAATATCTATAAGAACACTGGATTATATATCTTACTGTTCTTTCTTTTTTTTATACATAAATACATACATATATATATATATATATATATATATATATATATATATATATATATATATATATATGTATGTATGTATAATCATTTCACCCCAAGGAAGGTGGTAATGTCACTAAGACGCAAGGAGTCACAGACGGAGAAGACAATTCTGATTGAATAGAGGAAGAAATTATATGAAGAAGAGAGCAATAAATAAGAAAATGGATAAAAAAAAATGCGTATATCAATATAGTGGAAGTTTATATATATATATATATATATATATATATATATATATATATATATATGTATAATTTTCACCCCAAAGGAAGGTGGTAATGTCACTAAGACGCAAGGAGTCACAGACGGAGAAGACAATTCTGATTGAATAGAGGAAGAAATTATATGAAGAAGAGAGCAATAAATAAGAAAATGGATAAAAAAAATGCGTATATCAATATAGTGGAAGTTTATATATATATATATATATATATATATATATATATATATATATATATATATATATGTATAATCATTTCACCCCAAGGAAGGTGGTAATGTCACTAAGACGCAAGGAGTCAGACGGAGAAGACAAATCTGATTGAATAGAGGAAAAAATTATGATTGAAAATGGATAAAAAAAAAATGCGTATATCAATATAGTGGAAGAAATATATATATATATATATATATATATATATAAATAAGGAAAATGGATAAAAGACGCAAGGATGACGTTCTGATATCAAAGAAATATAGAAGAAGAGAGCAATTAAGAAAATGGATAAAAAAAAAATATATCAATATATATATATATATATATATATATATATATATATATATATATATATGTATAATCATTTCACCCCAAGGAAGGTGGTAATGTCACTAAGACACAAGGAGTCACAGACGGAGAAGACAATTCTGATTGAATAGAGGAAGAAATTATATGAAGAAGAGAGCAATAAATAAGAAAATGGATAAAATAAATACGTATATCAATATAGTGTAAGTTTATTTATATATATATATATATATATATATATATATATATGTGTGTGTGTGTGTGTGTGTGTGTGTATAATCATTTCACCCCAAGAAAGGTGAAAATGTCACTAAGACACAGGGAGTCATTGAAAGTGAACAAAAAGTTAACATTACAGACCATTCTTTGTATTTTAGCAATATTCAGTGCCCGGACGAATTTCTGATTTATAAACATGCAAGGTGAATTATGGCGAAAGAACTGTACGACATAGTGACTCAAGGAAACAATAAAAGTATAATAAAAAGCAAAGACATAAGAAAGAAGGAAGGAGAGAAGGAAAGGTGCTACTATATCGTGAGGTCTACCTCAATATATCGTCTACCCAGTTGCAGCACGGAGGTCTACCGTGGCCCTAATGCGTGGTGTTGGTAGTCAGCTGTTCCAGTCACATCTTGATTATTTTTTGCTGAAAAATGATGATGTGTTTTTCTTACCTCTCTGTCTTTAATATAAAATTAAATAGTATATAGATATATAAATAATAATATAAGGTTTAAATAAATGTGTATATACCTAAAATATTATATTATAGTTCGAATCTTCGGTAGACCTCACGCTATAAATGAAACAGGAGGTAGATCTCACGCTATAAACGAACCGGGAGGTAGACCTCACGCTATAAACGAACCGGGAGGTAGACCTCACGCTATAGTAGCACCGATAGAATAAAAGAAAGCAAGAAAGAATAACCAAAATCCAATTGAAAAAAATTACAGAAATGGAGGTTCAAACAAAAGAGAAAGATTAACAAATTTTATTATTCTGCTTATTCTTCTTCCACTTCATTTTGTTTCTTTCTCTTCTTTTTCTTCTTTATTTTCTTCCTCTTTCTTTTCTTCTTCTTCATTTTCTTCCTCTTTCTTTTCTTCTTCTTCTTCTTCATTTTCTTCCTCTTTTTTTCTTCTTCTTCTTCTTCTTCATTTTCTTCCTCTTTATTTTTCTTCTACATCTTCATTTTCTTCCTTTTTCTTTCTTCGTCTTCATTTTCTATCTTTCTTTCTTTCTTTCTTTCTTTCTTTCTTTCTTTCTTTCTTAATTCTTCTTCTTCACTTTCTTCCTCTTTCTTTCCTTCTTATTTTTTTTCATTTTCTTCCTTTTCTTTTTTTTTTTCTTCTTTCTTCTTCTTCTTTCATCTTCATTTTTTTCTTCCTTTTTTTTTCTTTTCTTTTTTCATTTTTCTTTCTTTTCTTTCTTTCTTCTTCTTCATTTTCTTCTTTCTTTCTTTTCTTTCTTTTCTTTTCTTCTTCTTTTTTTCTTCGTCTTTTTTATTTTCTTCCTCTTTATTTTCTTCATCTTCATCTTCATTTTTCTTCTTTTTTCTTTCTTTTCTTTTTTCCTTTCTTAATTCTTCTTCATTTTCTTCCCCTTTCTTTCCTTCTTCTTCTTCTTCCTCTTCTTCATGTTCTTCCTCTTTCTTTCCTTCTTCTTCTTCTTCTTCATGTTCTTCCTCTTTCTTTCCTTCTTCTTCTTCTTCTTCATTTTCTTCCTCTTTCTTTCCTTCTTCTTTTTCATTTTCTTCCTCTTTATTTTTCTTCTTCATCATCTTCCTTTTTCTTTCTTCTTCTTCATTTTATTTCTTAATTCTTCTTCATTCTCTTCCTCTTTCTATCTTTCTTCTTCTTCATTTTTTCTTGTTGTTGTTGCTGCTGTTGTTGTTTTTGTTGTGTGGGCGACAATATTTACTTGACCGCTCCAAAGAGTATGTTTTTTTTTTAATATGGGGGGTACCCATACGCATATATATTTACGAAGACAAAAACTGTCACGTCTCTACAACCAGTGCCATGTTGGAGTCAATATTGCAGCGAAGTTATAGCGATGAGGAAGGCACCACCGCAGGTTTGGAATTCCCCGGCCCGGGCTCCTTCTTTCATCTCACATGAGAAAGGAACACATACTACACTTTCATTTCGGCAAAAAAAGCGAAAAAATAAACGTGATCGGTCAGGTCTATCCACAACTTACTATCCTTTGAAGCTCTTAACTATTCTCTTTTTCTTTCTATTTTTTAATATCATACCTACTACGATATCTGCCATCAATTTTACAGAATTGGTACATAAATTACTTCTTGTTTCCCTCTAAACTTTTTGCCTATAGTACGCCCTGTGCATGGCAAATTCTCCAACAAATTTCCTCGTAATTTCTCCTAAAATTCACTTTTTTTTGGTTTCCATTTTTCCAGAGATTAAGGAATGCAAAAGAAATAAAATATCAATAAATGGAGGAAACATTAAAATTCGGAAAAGGAAAATCATGTCAAGACAGAAAATGACAAAATATACAAAGAAAGAAAGAATGAATAAGAGAAAGGTTTTTTTTTTTTTCAAATGGAAGGGAAATAACTAAATTTAAGACACAGCGTAGGAATTCATTCCTGAAGAAAAAAAAGATATACGCTGTTTATCAGATTTTAAATAAAATAAAAGGTAAGATTATTTTAGCGAAATTATTAAAATAAGAATACTTTGCTAGCAGGATAGAATCTATTAAGAAAGACAGACAGACAGAAACTAGAAAATAAGGAAAGACAAAAGAAAGAAAGACGAGAGACATAAAAAAGCAAAGAACAAGAGAGAAAAAAATCAGAGAAAGATAGAAAAGTAGAAAGTATAGAAGAAAGAAAAAAGAAACAAAGGCATTAAAGAAAGAAAGAAAGAAAGAAAGAAAGAAAGAAAGAAAGAAAGAAAGAAAGAAAGAAAGAACGGAAAGAACGGAAAGAGAAATAAAAAACAAGAAGAAAGGAAAAAGAAAAAGAAGGATAAAAAGAAAGAAAGGAAAACACATAAAACAAAGAATAAGAAAAAAAAAAAAAAAAGGATAAAAGAAAAAAGAAAAAAAAAAAAAAAAAAAAAAAGAAAGAAAGAAAAAAGAAAGAAAGAAAGAATGAAGAGAGAAGGAAGACATAAAAACAAGAGAGAAATAAAAAAGACTGAGGAAAAAAAAAACGGAAGCCATAGAAGAAATGAAAAAACAAAGAAAGAATTTGAAAATTATTATTAAAATAATAGAAAGTGATAGGGGGGGGGTAATGGTGATAAAAATATAAAAAAAAATGTAAGGTAAAATGTCATAAAAGCTAATAGAGAGGGGAGAGAGAGAAAGAGAAAGAGAAAGAGAGAGAATAGTCAAAGATGAAACCAGAAAGAAACAAAGCAAGAAAGAAAAAAAATAACAATTATAAAAAAATATAGAATTATTATATAATCATAGAATTCGAAAAAATGATAATTCAATGAAAGAAAAAAAGAAAGAAAGAAATAAAGTAAGAATGAAAGAAAGAAAGAAAGAAAGAAAGAAAGAAAGAAAGAAAGAAAGAAAAAAAATCAGTGAAACATACGGAAAAGATAATCAGTCTTTTAAAAACAAAAATGAAACAGAAAAAAAAAATTCCATGGCATACATTGGAAAAGAAAGAAAAAATGTTGAATAAAAAAAGAGAAAATGAAAGAATAATGAATGAATTATGAAGGATAAATTAATGGTCGATAAAAGAAAAAATATCAAAAAATAGGAAGAGAAGTCTTTATCGAAATAGATAGTAAGCTTTATAACAAATAGGAATATGAGAGATTCAGAAAACATAAAGAAAGAAAGAAAGACAGAAAGAAAGAAAGAAAATCAATTAGAGAATGAAAGTCAAAACAATTAAGTTAAAAAAAAAATTCATTAATATTAGGGTGTTAAAATAAGTTTTAGTTTCATGTTAATTAAAAGAGGTTTTTTTTTTTTGCTTTTTTTGCTTTTTAAATCAACAATGAATAAATAAACAGAAGCATAATTACTTGCCTCCTCCGCTAACCCTTTGGCGACGATATTTCGTGACTTTCCGGATGATGCCTTTTCCATGGCAACAAGTTTGTTGATCCAACCTGGTTGACAAGAATATTATGTTTCTGTCTTTGTGTGTGAACATCTTAACATGTTTTTTTTTTTAAAAAAAAATTAATCACACGCAAAACTTTAACGATTTCATTCTCCCGAAAAAAAAAAACGAAAATAAAAAAAATATGAGGCCAGAGGCGAGAAACAAAATAGAATGATTTTTTCATCAGTTTCGAAAAGAAAATTACAGTTCCAAGGCCAGTCAGATTCTAACGACTTCCACCAAACTTATTGATCACCATTTGATATCTGCGACAGACCTGTAATGAATGAAAAATTAACCTTTCATATTGAAATGTTAGAAATTAGCACAATATGGACAAATATGGCGGAACTAAATTAGTTATTACAAGCCTATTTATGAATATGGCTCTTTTTTTTTTGGGGCAATGGTAATAGTCGCTATTATAGGGATAAAGAAACATTTGCCATTCATTGACTGAGCAGTCGTTACTGCTTTTGTTTGAAGTTTATAAAATCTTTCGGTGTTACTATAGTATACCTACTGTCCATTTTCTATGGTATGATATTTACCAGACTATTAAAAGTATGAAATATACTATAGTTAGAGATTAGGATTAGTTGTTAGGGTTAGGATTTAGGGTTAATTTTAGGGGTTAGGGTTAAAGTTAAGTTTAAAGGCAGTGAACAGTGAACTGTTTATGTATTAAAATTCATTACAAAAAAATTATGTAAAAAATTTTTAAAAATCATAAAATAAAGATTTGAATGTTTGTAAACTGATCTGATGTCATTTAAAAAAAAAACAATAAACAGGTCATCGTTTTCCCGAACGTTTCCCAGCAATAATGAGTGCATCGCCATTTACGGTAGATCGCAAATGCCCCGGTTGGTATCATACTATTGTAGCAGCAATCTTTCTCTTAAAACAATTTTTTTCGGAAAAGAAGGTTTCGGAATTCTCAAGTTTTATCGCTCTTTCCAGTAATCAGTGGAGGTTTTCTTCCTAACTTTTTATTTGAAGTGGTGTGGAATGCTAACATCTTCATTACGTGATAATTTTCTCTCTTGAGTTACATGTACTATCCATTTTAATTGTTGCTATTTTTGTTAGTAATCAAGTGATGCGTTTTTTGTTATTTGGTACAGCCATTGTTAGTGAGTTCAGAGTATGAAGATAAACTACATCCGTCCACCCAGATCTAGGGTGGTAGCATCTGTTAGGGTCCCAGCTATGGGCAAATAGAGAACCCCAAAACAAAACACTATGAAAGCATAAAAATACATTTTTATAGTAAAAATACCAGCAATATATTTTTTATATTTTAAGAATAATTACCAAAAATACATATTTATAGTAGAATTACTAATACATTAATCCACATAATAATAATATCCTATAATCCACATAATAATAATATCCTATAATCCACATAATAATAATATCCTACAATTTCTTAAAGAAATTGAACTGTATTGCAAATTATAACTCCAACTAAACTACAGCATAAAACACACATATCACTGCTTCTAGTAATTATGTCCACACAAACATGTATATGCACAAAAGCGGAGTATCATCTACCATGTATTCAATTGTGAAAGCAGAATAACATATGTTTTTATTACTTCAATGCTCCCAAGAAAATTAAACTTTTGCATTAAATAAACCATAAGGAGTTGATATGCGGCTAAACAAACCAAGAAACTAACTTTGGGATTCTATAGCGCCAGTCCACAATGTTTAAAGAAGAGTGGCCTTTGTTAAGATCCTAAGGATTACTCATTGAAAAGGTTATTTTTACTATTGATCTTATAAAGCGGTTGTATATAACTGTCTGTTTAGATATTTATGAATGTGTTTGGCGCCATTCAGTACATCCTTGTGAAAGTCGAGATCTGACGAGGATATTTAAGAACATGACTTGAGTTTTCCTTAGTTACCTGAAGATTATTGCATTATATATATATATATATATATATATCAAATATGTCTCATATGTGGTGCAGTTCAATTTATATTACAATGAATCATTCATGCAAAAAGTAGATTAGTAAAGTTAATGACTTAAAATGGCGAAAACTCTTCGCAAACAAAATTTTAAAGTTGCATTAGCCTACGAACCACTCGATGAATATTATGATCCTTACATTTAATAACTACAAGCTGTAATATGTCATTTTTTTAATCTGCTAGTACTTTCAAATGCACACACAGTCATCCTCACACATGGAAATTATTTTATTTATAGTAAATCCAGGTAGTATCGGAGACAAAATATTAAATGCGAATGGAAATATGTTTTTTTTAGAAATGTGTTATTGTTAACGAATAAAAACTTTTGGAGCTTGCAGTCGCTAATTTTTTTTTTTTTTTTTTTTGAAAATTTAAGAGAGTACGTTTTTTTTTTTCCTAATATGGTAATTTGAGAATTTTTTGTTGTAGTAGTTTATCAGTCAGTGTGGCATGAAATAAATAGTTCAATAAATAGAGTAATGTCTCAGTTGTTATCCCGAAGATTTGCACGTAGGATCAGTTCTTTTAAATCTAAAATGTAGTGCAGTTCAATTTATATTACAATGAATTATTCAGAGGACTTTCAGCTTGATGTAGTTCATCGTCATACCCAGGACGCAGTAAACGAATTGAGTAAGCTTTATAGCGAACTTTGAAAATGGGTGTCAAAACAAGGTGTTGGAGGGAAAAAATGACAAAGCTTACCAAAATGTCTGGAAGTGGAGAGCCGTGATCACATTGCCCATATTCTGAAGGAACACGAAACATGGAAAAAGAATATTCAATGACTTTTTGACCCGTGTTGAGAAGACAATAGCAACGGACAATCAACACGCGTAACACTATATGTTGTTCCTCTTTAACCCTAGAACATCAACCATCAATTAACGTTACACCACGACTAACCATGGTTATATCATATCCGATTTTGGAAATATCAAAAAAAATATTAAATATAAATCTTTATTTGAAATATTTTAAATAAAGGCACTTCAAACTTTGTACTTTGAGTTAACATTAATAGGAACTGAAAAACATTATTTAGGTAAAAAAATCAGGTACTGAAAATTGTAATTAAAAATAGGAAAATTTGCACTGAGTACTATATACCCATGCTTAGTGTTCTATAGTTAAGTTTGGGGGAAAAGAATCTTAAAATATGATTGATGAAGACTACGGTAGTCGAAGGAGGAAGAACGTGTTTGAAACAGTGAGAGACAGCAGTGACTTTTGTTGTCTGTTTATTCGGAATAATTTTATCTCTCGTGCTTCAATAAATTCATTAAATTTTCAGTAAAAATCAAAGTTCATGGCTTAGATCGAAACGTTTGCATAAGTATTATTCAATTAGGTTTACGATACGATATCTCATTTTTAGAAAACATATTCAGGAAAACATCACATCTTTTTTTCTTTTCTTTTTTTCTCGTATTGAAAAAGATCCAATTCTCTTATAGCCCGATTACCTGCATTGACACACATGAAAGCCGATAGGGTTTTCGTGTTTCATTTAAAAAAAAAGCGAGGCCAAAGGAAGGGAAGAGATATAATATCTTGAAGAAAATGCCTGTTCTTAAAGGAAAAAAAATCAAATCTTGCTCAAATTCTATAGCGATTTACACATTATCAGTAATTTTAAAAGATTCATTTTAGTCGTCGTCGATAAATTATGGAAGCCTTGAAAACAAATATGATATTTTTTTTTTTTTTCACCATGATTTTTTTTTTAGCAATTCATTATATATTCCACAATATTTTATAAAGGTAGGGACCGTGTATAAAATCGATAGGAATGGTTTTATATTTTAAAAAAAATAATATTATTTCTTCCTTGAAATTTCCCATGTTTCGCTTCTATTTCACTATTTTTTTTTATTCTTAAAAGTTTCTTTTTCGCACTTTCCCTCCGCCGTAATGTAGATTCTCAGTGCCTTTTCTGTAAACAATTTCATGGTAATTGTTTTCTTGAACATTAAGCTATAGTGTCTGGACTTTATGAATTTAAACGCAGCACTAGATTGGCAATGAGGTCTAATAATTTTACAGTTGAATTGGCTAGATACGACCGTAATTCCTTTACTAACAGTCTCTTTTCTCACATTTCTCGCCTGTGGAACACTCTCCCTATTTCTTGCTTTCCAGGAAACTTTGATCATCAAAGGTTTAAATGCCATTTCAGTCGCTGTCTACTGTCTTCTTGATTCCTATTCTGTTATTGTTCTCGCTTCTTAGTCTTGTGGATTCCGGCGATGGAATCCTGCACAAATAAATAAACAACGCCAGTAATTAAAATAGAAAAAATATGTGTATTAAATGTAAGAATACAAACGTGAAATGAAGATTAGTAGTCCAAGAATGCGGGTTAGTAGAAAAGTATATGTAAAAGTCTCTGTAAGTGAAGCCGTAATTATCTCTCTTTCTGGACTCTTGTATAACTCTGAGTGAACACCCTGTCTCGACCTTTTTGTCACGCTATCTCTTCGTAGTATAAGTATACTTTGGACGAGTCCATCTTGTGTACAAGGGGCGAGACCCACAATACTTAGTAATGTTTTTTATCTTTTACTTATTCTTTCACACTCAGTAACCTCTTGTGTCTTAGTGGCTTTATTACTTTGCTTGGGGTAAAATGATGTTTTTTTTAAGCGTAGTGTATATGTAGGTATAAGGCCGAATGTACTTCCTAAGGATGGAACTCCCACGTAACTGATCTGGCAAGAAAATCATTACACCACGTCAAAGTACCCGTAAATGATATTCTAAGCGTAGCTTCGATGTGGCACAAGGCCGAAATTGTGGAGCACTCTGTGAGGATTGAACTCACTACCCGATTGTAACTAATCTAGCGAAACATCCAAGTTGCTAAGCAGGTTGCTGTGCCCTTCTTGGGGTGAAGCGATTTCTTTTGTTCATATTTTCGTTCAAATATTCAAAGTTACTCATTCTTTTAAACCAGTGTTTGGGGTATATTTTAATAGTTTATATTTTTTTATTTCTGGCGCAATCTAATCTTTTCGGTTTCTTTTTTCCTCTTTTTCTATGGTGCGTTTCTCTTGCTCCTTCACTCCGTCGTTCTTCGTAATCTTCTCCATCTCCTACAAAACTTTCTCTCGCTTTTTCATCTGATTCTTACTCTTTCATCTCTCGAATCTTCTCCCGCACCATTTTCTCTTACAAAATGTTATTCTCTCGGATTTTCTGTTGATTTCTTACATATATATATATATATATATATATATATTACTCTCTCTCTTTCTCCGTCACATCGTCAATCTTCTTTCTATTTCCTACGAGAACACTTTTCCTTCTGCAGTTATTTTTTCTCGTCTTCCCCCTACACTTTCCTCTAATTCTCTCACATTTTCAAATTCCCGTCCTGGGTAAGACGATAAACTATATCCACGCCCTTGGTATGACGATTGTTACAGTTTTTTGTGTGTATGTTATATAACTAGTGAGCCAGTCAAAATGACTTAACTCCCTTTATAGTTTACCAATAGAAGGTTAACCAATCAGAAGCCACAGAACATTCTATCTGTCATGCATAAAGGCGGCCATTTTTGTTTACCCTACCCGAATGACTGGTGCCAACTTGTCAGGCGAAAATGACAGAAGGAAGTACTACGCTCTGCTACTTTATCCACTGCTAACCTGAACTACGCTTTCCTACTGTCTCCGAAATATTCACTGCTAACCTCTGGATTCTATACTCGAAGACGACCGTCAAAATGTCTAACAACGATATACTACATCCGCGTCCTGGGTAAGACGATAAACTATATGCACGCCCTGGGCATGACGATAAACTATATCCGACAGTAAGGCCTCTGATCAGGAGGTTTTCAGGAGCGTGGAACCACCTCTTAATTGGTGGTGTTCCGAGGTCCACCCTGACCTAGGCTGGTAACACCTTTTAGGATCCCATCTATGGGCAAATAGTTAACCTCCAAACTGAGATCAAACCGCTATGAAAGTGTAAAAATAGGTATTAATACCAGCAATACATTTTTGTAAAAAACTATCGCCAGCAACGAATTTTACAAGAAACAATTATTGCCGGCAATAAATTTTTGAAAAAACAAAATATTATCAGCAATACGTTATCGAAAAAATATTACGAGCAATACATTTTTAAAGAAATATATTACCAGGAATATATTTTTGAAAAAAACAAACGGAATGTTACCAACAATACATTTTTGAAAAAGTTATTACCAGTAATATATTTGTGTAAAATAAATATTACCAGTAATACATTTTTGAAAAAAAAAATATTACCACCAATACATTTTTGGAAAAAATATATTACCAGGAATATATTTTTGAAAAAATATATTACCAGCAATACATTTTTGGAAAAAATATATTACCAGCAATACATTTTTGAAAGAAAAATAATTACCAGCGATATATTTTTAAAGAAATATATTACCAGGAATACATTTTTGAGAAAATATTGATGTTACCAACAATACAATTTTGAAAAAGTTATTACTAGTAATATATATATATATATTTTTTTTTTAAAATATTACCAATAATACATTTTGAAAAGAATATTACCAGCAATACATTTTTGAAAAAAATTATTACTAGCAATACACATTTGAAAAAATAAATTATTACCAGCAATACATTGTTAAAGAAAAATATATTACTAACAATATATTTTTGAAGGAAAAATTATTACCAGCAATACATTTTTAAAGAAAAATATATTACCAGCAATACATTTTGAAAAAAAATTATTACCAACAATACATTTTCAAAGAAAAAATTTATTAATAGCAATACATTTTTTAAGGAAGAATTATTACCAGCAATACATTTTTGAGGAAAAATTATTGCCATTTATGAAAAAACAAAAATATTATCAGCAATACATTTTTGGAAAAAAATATTACCATCAATACATTTTTGAAAAAAATATAACATAAATAATCATCATGTAGGCATTAAATAACCCATTGAGGTTGATATGCCGTAAAAGAAACCAAACGAAACCTTTCATTTTTTTTTAAATTCTCATTCTACTTCCCTTAGATTTCGATTTATTCACCTTCGGTATTTTCTCATACTTTTCGTTTTTCTTCAATTTCATCTTTTACTCCACCACATTATTCCTCTTGAATATTTCTTTTTGTATCACATTTTCTCATTCTCCTATATTTTTCTTCATTTTCTCCTCTTCCTTCTCTTTTCTTCCTTTCTTTTTCTCGTTCACCTTCTTCCTTTCTTTTTCTCGTTCACCTTCTTCCTTCTACACTTCCTCTTCGCACTACTTTATATCCTTCGTCTTCTATGTCACTGTCGTTTAACTCGCCATCCTTCTTTCTCTATTTTTCCTCCTAATTCTTCTTCTTTCGATTTCTCATTCTGTTATATTTATTCCTTGTCTTTCCTCTTCACGATTTCAGTCTTGTTTCTGGTTCCTTCTTCTTGCTTAGTCTTGGGTAGGACGATAAACAACACCCGACAGTAAAGTCTCTAATCGGGAGACTAGGTATTTTGAGAAGCATGGAACCACCTATTAATAGCCGCTGTTCCTATGTCTACCTTGACCCGGAGTAGTAGCACCTTTTTTAGAGCCCCAGCTATGGATAAATACATTTTTATAGTAAAAATACCAGCAATATATTTTTACATAAAAAGATTACCAACAATACATTTTATCTGTTGTTGCATTCAAAATATATCTATTTGAAGCCATAAAATTGTATTTTGAGGTGTTTAGATTCCGGCATTAAATTACCCATAAAGATTGATATTCTGCTAAATAACATCAACCAAACATGAAGAACACTTTTATGACATTAATTCATATAATATCCTACAATTTATTAATGAAATCTGTATAGCAACCTATAACATAAAAAAAAACTACAACATAAAACACAAATATCACCGCTTCTAGTAATTATGTCCACATAATCGTATATGCACAAAAGCTGAATGTCATCTACCACGTACTCAATCGTGAAAGCAGAACATGTAGAAATACCACACGTTAATTACTTCAAAACATCCAAGAAAATTAAATTTCGGCATTAAATGACGCATAAGGTATGTCATGCTGTTAAAAAACAAAAAAAATCAACTAATCCTTCTTCATCTTGATCATCATCACGTCGTTCCTGCGAACAACAGTTGACGAACCATGTTGGAAAACTACGATAACCTTCCCATGCTGTAGCCAGTCAATGTATTGAAGTTATCTGACCATGCCATACGCTGCTGACACTATGCCTATTTGTTTTTTTTTAGATGATCTTCCCAATTAGGATCAACTGAAAAATTCTCTCTCGTCTCACAACGTGAACGAACAATACTGTTCTTGCCCTTGTTATTGTAGGATAGAGAGATAATTATTGATAGTCTGTTTCTTGCATCGCTGAGTTTTTCGTCCCCTAATCGCTCCATGATATTCGCAAGATGCGTCGACAACACCTTGGTGATTTTCACGGCAGACACTTTGAGCGTCCAAGTGTCAGGACCATTAGTGAAATACAGAGCAGATGTAACAATTTAGGAAGCGTAGACTTATTTGTAAGTTAAGATTTCTGTTCACCAATAGCTTCTTCAAATTCAGGAATAGGCCTCCTCCTCCTCAGCTTCTCCTCCTCCTCTTCCTTCGTTCTCACCCCCTTCTTCCTTTCCTTTTCTTCCTTTTCTTTTCTTCCTTTGTTCGCCTTCGTTTTCACCCCTTTCTTCCTTGCTTTTCTTTTTTTTCCCTTCTTCCTTTCGTTCTCACCCCTTCTTCCTTCTTCTCACCCCTCCCTTCTTCCTTTCTTTTCGCCTTCGTTTTCACTCCTCCTTTCTTCCTTGCTTTTCGCCTTCGTTTTCACCCCTCCCTTCTTCCTTTCTTTTCGTCTTCGTTCTCACCCCTCCCTTCTTCCTTTCTTTTCGCCTTCGTTCTCACCCCTCCTTTCTTCCTTGCTTTTCGCTTTTTCCCCTCCTTCATTTTCTTTTTGCTCCTTCTTCATTTCTTTTCGTCTTCATTTTCACCCCTCCCTTCTTCCTTTCTTTTCGCCTTCGTTTTCACCCCTCCCTTCTTCCTTTCTTTTCGTCTTCATTTTCCCTTCCCCTTTTTTTCCCTTCTTTTCCTTTCTTTTTCCTTGCTTTTCACCCCTCCCTTCTTCCTTTCTTTTCGCCTCCCTTCTTCCTTTCTTTTTCGCCCCCTTTTCCCTCCCTTCTTCCTTTCTTTTCGTCTTCTTTTCACCCCTCCTTCTTCATTTCTTTTTCGCTTCCTTTCTTCATTTCTTTTCGTCTTCATTTTCACCCGTCTTCATTTTCACCCTCCTTCTTCCTTTCTTTTCGTCTTCATTTTCACCCCTCCCTTCTTCCTTTCTTTTCGTCTTCATTTTCAGCCTTCCCTTATACCATTCGTTTTAGCTTTGTTTTCACACTTCTCTCCTTTCTTTCTTTTCGCCTTAGTTCTCACCCCTTCCTTTCTTCCTTACATTCTTCCCTCCCTTTGTTTTTTCGCATTCTCACCTTCTTCTTTTTTTTTTTTCGCCTTCTGTTTTCTTCCTTTCTTCCTTGTTTTCTTCACCCCCTCCTTTCTTTCTTTTTCTTCTCAGCCCTTTTCTTCCTTTCTTTTCGCCTTTTTTCACCCTCCCTTCTTCCTTTCTTTTTCGTCTTCATTTTCCTTTTCTTCGTTTTTTTTTTTCATTTTCTTTTCATTTTAGCTTTGTTTTCATTTCTTTTTCACCAACCTCTTCCTTACATTTCGTGTTTGTTTTCAGCATTCCCATTTCCTTCTTTTTTTTTCGTTCTCAATTTCTTCTTTTCCCCTTGATTCTTTTTCTTTCTTGGCTTTTCCTTCGTTTTTTTTCTTTTAATTTTCTTCTCATTTCTTTCACCAACCTCCTTATATTTTCTGTATTTTTACGTTTTTCTTCAATTTGATTCTTTTCTTTCTCCACGTTGTAAGTCTAATTTCTCTTCTCTTCTTCGTTCCGAAGTTTCCCTTTTCAAGTTTTTTTTTTTTTCTTTTTTATTCCACTCTACTAACCATCTTCATTCTTTTTCCGCTCTTTCGAATTCACCTCGTTTTATTTTTCTTTCTTTTTCCTTTATTTTTTTTCAGTATATAAGGTTATAGTATTTTCGATCAAATGTCTAATCTGATTCAATCTTTCTGATCAAATAGCGAAATGAATGCCATCTTGAACGGCCACTCATCTAGATCTTTTAAATTAAATACTATTTACTCCGATACTTTACGTTGGACCTGCGTTTTTACTAATATTTCTGCTTTCAAGCTTTTTTCATCTGTTCATTCTATTTTACATATTGGCCCCGTTCACTTTCCTCCTACTCCTAATTCTTCTATTCCTCCTTCAGCCTGTCGTATTCCAGCTTCTCTTAATGCTCGGTTATATAGCCTTATCACGTTGAAACCCCGGTTCCGCACGATAATGGATGTTAAGCAACGCCAATTCTGGTCAGTATATAGATTGGTGACCGCTTGGAAACACAAGGTGCTCTACACTTGGATGCGCGTTTGCTGCACAGTATAATGGGTCGGAATTCTTAATCTGAGAGCAGAGTTCTAATTCCAGTCAGCTTCTTTCTATTCATTTAAGCTCAACTATCCTTAGAAAGTTATGAATCTACATCTTCTCTCCCCAGCTATGGGTTAATTAGTAAGGCTTGTATAACTAAATCATTATTATCGTCCTTCCCCGCAAAAAAATTATTTCAATCTAAAAAATATTTTCTGGCTTTACATAACCTGCAAAAGGGTTGATAAGCCGTAAAAAGTAAATCAATCAACCAATGTAAATCCTCCTAAGGAATATCCATCGGCGTTTTTGCTTTATGTGGCACCATTTAGCGATTGTCATTTTCTTTCCTTTTTTCCATTTCCTTTCTCTTATGGCTCTGTTCGTACTTCTTCGTCTCCTGTGACTTTTCCTTCATTTATTCTAGATTTCTTTCTATATTTCTCCCGTTCCCTGTTTTACGATTACATCTTCCGTCTTTCTTCTAAACTTTCTCACTCCTCACTCCGATTCTTTTCCCTTCTTCCTCCAAACCGTTTTGGCTCTGCATCAAAACTTCCTTCTTTTTCACTGCGCGCATATTTTTCATTCCCTGTCTTCTCTGCTTTCTCCTTCAGCCTTTAGCGATCATTCTTCTCCTTTACCCTCCTCTTTGCTTCCTTCTTTGTCTACTGCCTTGCTCCTCATCTCCTCATCCGTTTCTACTTCGTTTAGTTTCTCTTTCAAACGTTCTTCTCGTTCGTTCTCGTTCGTTCTCGTTCTTTTCGTCTTTTCTCATCTTGTATGTTTCATCTCACTTTTACCATTTTTACTTTCCACTTTATACCTTCTTCTCTTTTTATTTCCGACTAGCAGTAGAGCCCAGCGTTGCCCGGGAATGTAACAGTAAGAGATAGATCAAGTATCGATCATCATAAAGACTGAAAAATAAAATTGACAAAGATTATTGTTAAATGTTGATGGACACACATGTCTTAATTAGATTTTTTTTTTTTTTTTTACGAATTGGTCAAACCCAAACTCAAACAAAAAACATTGTTTTCAATCGTTATGAGTCTACCGATTGAATAGAATTTTATTATAAACAATTGTCTTGTAAATGGAATTTTAAAGCATTCTGAATGTAAAATAAAGAAAAAAAGTGCAAGACAATAAGAAACACTACCTGCCAAAAAAAAAAGTGAAGTTTTCTCAAAATCGGTTGAAAATGTAGGAAATCCGATCCCATATATAAACGAACACACACACACACACACACACAATCACACACACACAAAACATGGGTTTTATAATAAGTATAACTCGATATGAGTTTTCCCCCTTTCATTCTCGAAACAGCAATGCCTCTTAATCGTGTTTTCAAATTGATTTCGTGCAAAAACAATTGTGTTTTTCCAATTTTTGGCACTGTCAGAACCCCGGCAACGTAACGTTACATAGTCCTGTGAAGTTTTGTTGAAATCGGTTGAAAAATGTTGGAAATCCGATCCAATAATTAAACACACAAACACACACAACCTGGGTTTTATAAGTATGATTTATTGCTCGTTCTTTTTTTTCCTCGCTCATTTTCTTTCTTTTTAATCTTTCAGTGTTGTCTTCCTTCTTCTTCCTCGGATTCATTCATCTCATCCATCCTTTTTTCTTTACTTATCTTCATCATCCACTTTCTCCTTGTACGGCAGAAGTACACCCAAAATATCCCTCCCAGAATACCCTCCACATAATGGTAAGACATTAAGTAGACGAAGACATCGTTGCCTCTAATGCCTTACCATTATGTGGGAGGTATTTCTCTCGGACCCTGTATGAATCCATTTTTCTTCTCACCCAGCTATGGGGTAAATAGTACAGTATCTGGAAAAATATTATCTAAAAATATCATTGTTAATATAATATTCACTCACAAAAAAAAAAAAGAATTATTCTTTCTGCGCGAAATATGTTTGGACTTTATATAACCCCAAAAGGGTTAATAAACTGTAAAATTGACAAAAAAGGTAACAAAAAAAAAAAACAAATCAATAAAATTCTACTTTTGCTTCAGCCCATAATTTCCTTCTATTCGTTGTTCCCCTAAATTGTGTTCTTCTAGTTTTGTCATATTTTATATCCGTTTTCTTCTTATAATCCAATTTATCCTTCTCTTATGTCTTCCAACATTGGATAACTTTTCTCTCTTCTTTCTCTCCATGTTTACAACGTTATGTTTTCAAACTTTTCAATACATTTATCTCCTCATTTTATATTCGAGGTCTTCTATTCTTTCTCAATTACATCATTAGGCAACTACCATTTTTATTCCTTTCTATTATTCCGACTCTTTTGTTTGGTTGGTTGTTTGTTTGATTGGCACATTGTTTCTTTCTTTCTTTCTTTCTTTCTTTCGTTCGTTCTTTCTTTCTTTCTTTCTTTCCCCGTTTTTTCCTTTCTCTTTTGTTCTTTGGTTTTATATGTTTATGTTTCTTTTTTTTCCCTTTTTTCTTTCTTTCTTTCTTTATTTCTTTCGTTCTTTCTTTCTCTCTCCGTTATTTTCCTTTCTCTTTTGTTCTTTGGTTTTATATGTTTATGTTTCTTTTTTTATTTTTTATTTCTTTCTTTCTTTTTCTTTCTTTCTTTCTTTCTTTCTCTCTCCGTTTATTTTCCTTTCTTTCTTGTTTTTTGATTTTATATGTCTATGTTTCTTTTTCATTTTTTTATTTCTTTTTTTCTTTCTTCCTTTCTTTCTTTCTTTCTTTCTTTTTTCTTTCGTTTTTTCTTTCTTTCTTCAATGATTTCTGGATTTCAATTGTTATCTGTTTTTCTATTTCTCTCTTGTTCTATTTTTGTGTCTTCTTTCTTTCTTTTTTTTCTTTCTTTCTTTCTTTCTTTCTTTCTTTCTTTCTTTCTTTGGTGCTTTCCGGTTTTCTATCTTTCTCTGATTTTTATTAATCTCTTGTTCTTTGTTTTTATGTGTCTCCTTTTTTATCTTTCTTTCTTGGTTTCCTTCTTTTTTTTCTTTTTTTTTTTTCTTTTTTTTACTTTTACCCTTTTGGGTTTTTTATCCATTGCTTTATTTTACTTTTGTTCTTTATTTCTTGTGCTTCTTCCTTTCTTTCTTTCTTTCTTTCTTTCTTTCTTTCTTTCTGTCTTTCTTTCTTTCTTTGAATCTTCTTTTCTTCAATGTTTTCCGTTTTATTTTCACTCTCTCGTTCTGTCTGTCTGTCTGTCTGTCTGTCTGTCTGTCTGTCTCTCTCTCTCTCTCTCTCTCTCTCTTGTTCTTTATTTCTCTCTTCATTTTATTTTCTTGGTTTTCTTCTTTCTTTCTTTCTTTTTTTTTACTTTTATTCATTTCGGCTTTTTTCTTCGTTTGTTTATTTTCCTCTAGTCATTTATCTTGTATGTTTTTTCATTCAGTCATTCATTCTTTGTATCTTCCTTTATTCAATGCTGTCCTTTTTTTTATCTCTCTCTTGTTTCTTTCCTTTTTCTTTCTTTCTTTCCTTCTTTCTTTGTTTCTTTCTTAATACTTTCTATTCTGCTAGCAAATTGTTCTTCATTTTGTTACTGCCATTTTTATTCCCAATTCTCAACCATTTCCAGCCTCTTCCATTTTAAATCCCTTATCTTGGTTTCTTTCTTTCGTTATTTCTGTCTTTCTTTCATCCATCTTCTTTTCTTTCTTCCTTTCTTGCGTTTTTCCTTTCTTTTATGCTTTCAAGTTTTCTATCTTTTATTTTTCTTTCTTTCTCGTTCTTTGTTTTTTATAAAACTCTTCTTCCTTCCTTTTATCTTTCTTTCTTTATTTTCTACTTTCCTTTTTTCAGTCTCTCTTTTTTTAATTGTTTCTATTTTGCTAGCAAATTATTCTTCATTTTTTTTATTTGTTTCTTTATTTCTTCTATGCTTTCCATCTTTTTATCTTTCTGTCTTTGTTATTTCTCACTTCTTCTTTCCTTTTTTATATCTTTCTTATTTCTTTCTACCTTTGTTTGTTTTGTTTTGTTTTGTTTTTTCTCTCTTTCTTTTATGCTTTCCTGGTTTTATTTTTCTCACTTTTATATTTCTCTTTTCTTCTTTCTTTTTTTATGTCTTTCTATTTTCTTTCTTTCTTTCTACCTTTGTTTGTTTGTTTGTTTTGTTTTGTTCTTTTTTTGTTGCTTTCTCTCTTTCTTCTATGCTTTGCGGATTTGTATCTTCCTCGATTTTATATTTCTCTCTTTTTCTTTGTTTCTTATGTCTCTTCTTTCTTTCTTTCTTTCTTTTTTTAATAGTTTCTTTTCTGCTAGCAAATTGTTTTTATTTCGTTACTTCCTGTTCTTTTCCCAATTCTCAGCCATTTCCCGCCTCTTCCCTTTTAACCCTTTCTCTGGTTACGTCTCCCTTTTAATTCGGTTTCATCTTGTTACTCCTCTCTTTCTATAGATAATGTCCTTCATTTCCCATTCCACCAAGCTCAGCTTCTATTCATTATCTTCCGCTTTCTCCTGACAATTATTCCTGTTCTTCCTTTCATTCTTTTGGCAAATACATACTCTTTACTTGTCTGTCTGATCGTTATCTTCGGAGATATCATTTCGTTTCATTTTGATTATTTTCCTCTCCGTCTTTCTCGATTCACCGAAACAATATCCGTCTTTAATTCACAGACTTCTATTTCATTATTTCTCTTTCTACCAAGGATAATTAGGACGAAGAAAAATAACATTTAGAAACGCTGATATGACTGTATAGATTAATATGAAAACAAATAATAGACAGCCAAATTTACATACAAACATACACACACACACACACACATATATATATATATATATATATTTATATATATGTGTGTGTGTGTATATATATATTTATTTTACTTGTATACGCACACACACACACACACACTCACTTAATATATATATATATATAGTCCGACAATTATTTTAAGACTTTTTTATGTTTATACATTCTTTTTTATAGATAAAAATATTTATGTAAATGCTGTGTTTATAATAAACAGTATTAACAACATTTACCGGCCTGAATATCCTAGAAATTGACATTGAAAATATGCGTCCTCCGACAGGAATCGTACCTGTATCCTATACTGAACCGTCATATTGAATGACGTGCTTTTACCGATTTCACTAGAGAGGAGTATTTCGCTTAGAAAAAGACGCTTTTACTATATATATATATATATATATATATATATATATATATATATATATATATATATATATATATATATATATATATATATATATATATATAGTATGATTGGTAAATTGTCACCATTTTTATTTTAATTTCGCGCATTTTGTCGATTGCGCAGTTGGTTGGGCACCGTCTGTGAGAGGAAGACCGCCATAACGCAATTTACCCCGACAGAAATTTGGAAACGGCATACCGTACTACATGGCATTCACACCGAACATTTCAGCGTGTTTGGGTGTCAACCCGTGAACTGCACACACGATTAGGAAATAGTTGGATTAGTCAAATCGTGATTACGAAAGTGTTTGAAGTGATCCCTAGTGATGGCGACGTTATGCCTCCAATAATCTTTCCACAGAGCCAAGACCGAAAGGTACATTGAAGAGGTAGTGCTACCCTGGGTCAAGATGATAGCTACTGAAAGAACCTATCAACATGATATATATATATATAGTCCGACAATTATTTTAAAACATTTTTTATGTTTATACATTCTTTAATTATAGATACAAATATTTAAGTAAATGCTGTGTTTATAATAAACAGTATTAACAACATTTACCGGCCTGAATGTTCGAGAAATTGATATAGAAAATATGCGTCCTGCGACAGGAATCGAACCTGTATCCTATACCAAAACGTCACATATTATTATTATTATTATTATTATTAAATGGACAAAGTCCGACAATTAAGACATTTTTATGTTTATACATTCTTTAATTATAGATACAAATATTTAAGTAATGGTTCTCTTAGTGGCTTTACTGCCTTGCCTGGGATGAAATAATTAAAAGAAAACACAAAGAAGAAAGCTTAAAATATATGTATAAAACCGTCTCTTTTTGCCCACACTTGTAGTTTAAACCGTATTGCAGCCAAACCTTTGTAAATGTGACAGCGCAAGTTTGGTTCAACCTAGACAGAAAAAACGTCATGTATACGACAAAGATTGTCCAACCCCAGTAACCATTGACACGCTGATGGTGGCATGCACCAAACCCGTTTCTTTAGTACAGTGCAAAATGTGCCGCCGAAGTTGGGACAAGGAATAGTCACCATTTATTACAAGATCTCAATTTTCTTGAAGAACAAGAATAAGAACAGATATTAAACTTCGAATTCGCTTTTATTCGACCCCTACGGGGATGGGATGTGACGCAATGTCGACTTACTTTGGGGTGTTAGCCAACGGCAAAAATGATCCAGTCACCGTGACTATTGACAGTGTCCACAAAACATCCCTTTTTAGTGCAATGAGGTAGATGCTGCTACAGATTTGGTATCTCTGGACTAGACACTCTTCATAGTTTTGAAGAGGTATAGAGAACAGATACTACACTTTGGTCCTAGCCAGAAGCCTGGTTAAGGTTATTTAGCCGTAAGGATACTTGCCAAAGGCCCCACGCAGTCAGATGTGGCACAAAGCCGAATTTAACGTGCAGTATCTGAGCCCGTACGCTCAAGCAAAATTCTCCGTAGACCCCCATAAAAAACGGGGTCAGGTACCTGTATGCACCCCGGATGAGAATCTGCCCTTCGGCATAGCCTCGTCTGGGTTCCTCTCCGCCCGAAGGCAGAGGGTTCGACCAGCTTAGTTGGAGACGAATATCTAACTAATTGCCGAAGCTACTCCGAATTTAGCCGTAAGCACCCTCGTGCAAAATGTGTCGAGTTTAAAATGGGCTAGCAATCTGCGTGTACGTGGTCTGGGGACAAAATTTGCTTTCACCTCCTTGGTACTTCCACTTGTTGGGGCACGGTTCAGGCTTAAGGTAATAACGCTGCTTCCTCCACACTCTCGAAGGAGAGGTAATACCTGTTGTAATCGGCAATCTAAGTCTCAAGCCAATCTTATTAATCTTCCATTGCACAGGCCCGTTAATACCAGAGTTGTTTACAATTTTTCAGAAGTTTTTAGACATTGGCAAACATTTTCGGATAGTGGGCCGCATATACAGTGCACCATAAGACGAGCTGCACAACTAAAAACAAATCAAGGGAATTTTCATTAGATATCACAGCCATTTTCCCATATGCAAAAGCATTTTTTTAAGGGTTTCACCCTAAGCAAGGCGGGAAGCCACTAGGTCGCAAGGGGTTACAGAAGATTTGGAGCAAGATCAGATAGAAGTGATAGAGGAAAGGATGAGGAGAAGGATAGTGCATAGATAAAGGCAACTGGAGATGTCGATTGACATTACATTTGAATAGTTGAAGATTATAGCTATCAGGGAAACTGGAATAAAGAAGGGAGTTCCACAAGCGAGAGGTGCGAGATATGAAGCTATTGGAGTAGAAGAGACGGCTACATTTAGTAGTTTCGACAGTGAAAGGGTGCGAGCGGGATGCCAGCCTCGTAGGGCGCTTGAATTCACGAAGTCTGGGAACCAGCGAATGCAGCTCCTCGGAGCAATTACCAGGAAAGTATTTCTAAAAAAGACAAAGAGAGGGGACGGCGCGTCTGTGGGAGAGTGTCTGTAG